TATCTATCTATCCATCCATCCATCCATCCATCCATCCATCCATCCATCCATCCATTCCTCCATCCTATTTATATGCCGCCCATTTCATTATTGAGTGGGAAGCTTATAGTCATAATGCTCACTTATAGTTTGGTAGAGATTATCATTTGTCAGTCTTGCTGCCTGCAAGATCTTAAGAATGGCAGGGGTTGAAATATGAAAGTTTTAGAAATAGCCAATTAGTAAGAAAGAACAATATAATCAGAGAAATACAACTACACATCCAGCCCAGAACTGGCTGAGTCTAAAAAGCTGGGGAAGAGCAGCAAGGAGGAAGGCTTTATAATCTGTAGACTCAGCCCTATTGGTTACTGGACAGAGTGAACCCTACATGACTGCTGTCTCCACCAATCGTGGAGAATGTACGGCACGTGTCAAAGGTATCACATCATCGTTTTCAGCGACACAGCGGCACTGCCCAACTCTTTTTGAAATAGATTTTGGGCAGTTTTCAGAGGCTGTTTCACGAGCAAAGGCTTCATGTGATCTGGAGTAAGCTCGGGTAGGCCGCAGGGGCCCGTCAACAGAAAGAGAACATTGCCTGACGGTAAGCAGGGCATGGCAGACCCTGGGAGTGCTGGATTGCACGACAATCGCACCTTGGGGTGTGGCGGAGGCAGCCTTTTTGAGTGACAGCAGGAACACTGCGGTGAAGTCAAAGCCTTAGATTGGCAGGTGTATGTGTGTATGTGTGGAAAAAGAATTGTTTCTCTTTTGTTCAAGGTGGGGGGGTGTGTGACCCACCAGCAGAGTCAAGTTAGGCATCTTCCAAATGTTTGACATGCCAACCTTCAAAAGCTCTGCCATCATTGCTCTTAAGACGTTGCTGGGACCTTTTAAAGTTGCCCGTCGTTAAGGCAGGGAAGGAAAAAAATGCCCAATTGTCCCAAGAACACAAGCATCCAAAATCTCTTTCCACCCACCCCCAGCTCAGCTCCAGGCCGACCCAACGTACAATAGGGAGAATGTTCCAGTTCTCCAATCTTCCCTCCTTCCCTCCTTCTGGCTTTGAACCGCTGCATCCAGCCAAGGAAACCGAATGCTGACTTCACAGCCTCAACCTCAGAGCCTTGAAGCGGCCAGCTGGGTTTCAGTGGGGTGGGGTGGGGTGGCGTGCATGCCTGTCTGCGTGTGTGCCTCCATGGGTCGCTGCCACGTGTAGAAGGGACCGGAGAGGCAAGCGGGTTGCTGTTTGCAGCAAGTGTGGGCAGCCTATTGATCTTGCTGGGGGATGAGGCGGTTTGCATTGTGAGGAGCCACTGGAGGGAAGAACCTTTGGAGCTAAAGGAAGAGGGTCTTGGCAACAGCAGCGGCGATAGAAGCTTTTCCAAATGGCAACCAGCGGAGAGCGAGCGGATGCTTGCGTTGTTTCTCTGATTATTCATCCCCTCTCGTCCCCTTGTGTTGCTCCCTGGGCCCAAGATGCAAGGGCGCAGCCTCAGACCTGCAAAGAAGCCTGTCTCCACCAGTAATGAAACCCAGACACTGAGGGGAAAGAAACATGTGCTTCCAATATCAGGCGGGGGCGGCAGGAACAGGGAGAAATGCTAAACGCCCTTTTGGGCTGAAGACTGTATGCCAGGCAGCCAGGACTGCGAGGGGTGGGGCAGTGGGGTGGGGAAGGCCGCTAGGAAAAGGGACAAACACAAAAGAATAACAAGACCCTCGAGTGTTCTTTAGTTCCACCACTCCCCCCCATGCCAACCCGAGAAATTCCAGGATGCAGAACCACAGGGGTGGGTGGGGGAGAGAGAGACTCAGAGTCCATGCAAATCATTGCATGCTTCAATTTTGAAAGTGAAATGAGCGCTATCAACTCTCCCCCTTCCCCAAACTGGACAAAAGGCTGATGGTTCCATAAACAAACAAGGCTTTTCATTTGCGGGCTGAGAAAGTGGCTGCTTCCTGACATGGGTGGGGGCAACTTTTCCAGGGTTGCAGTTTTTACAGGCCTCTGAGGTTATAAACCAGTGATGGCTAACCTTTTTGTCGTCCCGTGTCGAAAGCACAAATGTACCCACACCCATAATGCAATGCACGCATGACACCACCCTGGGGGGGGGCTGCGCATGCGCGCATGACCCTCATGCTTTCCCTGCCCCTGCGCATGTGTGTGTGATCCCCCCACTCCGTTTTGGGCCTAGCAGGCCTCCTTGCAACCAAACTCCTAGGACCAAAAACGCCACACACCCCCACGTAGGTGCGTGCATCTCCCGCATGCGCCCCATGCATCGTGGCAGAGACCCGAAAATCACCTGGCTGGTGGGAGGCACACGCACATGCATGGTGGAGATGAGCTGGGCGATGGCTCGCGTGCCCACAAAGAGGGCTCTGTGTGCCACCTGTGGCGTGCATGCCATAGGTCAGGGGTCGGCAAACTTAAACACTCAAAGAGCCATTTGGACCCGTTTCCCACAGAAAAGAAAACTCCGGGAGCCCCAAAGATCCTAACTAGAAGCCCCCTGTTCAATTCTGGAGCTGACCGGAAGTTCAGTTC